GGAGAGTGAGATTTAAGTTCTAAACCAGAAGTTTTGAGGCTTTATCAGGACAACTTTAAATACTTAGAGCCATCTGATGTTTTTTGGGAATTCTCATTCAAATTCTCATTGGCAATTCTCATTCTCATTCAACTCATTCAAAGTTTTGAGGCTTTATCAGGACAACTTTAAATGCTTAGACCCATCTGATGTTTTTTGGGATTCTCATTCAAATGGAAAATTACTTTCTACTCGTGAATAAAAGCCTACATTTTGTGAATTGATTTTAATCGTCATGGAGTAAACCTTGATTTAAGTCATTGTTTTTAAGTTCGTTTCTCAGTATATTTGTGTTTACTACAGAGTTATTTGATGAGGAAATACTAAATATTGATAAGGAATAAGAGTAATGTAAAGAGCATAGCAAATTAAATGATACCTCATCACAGAGAACAGGTTTTCTAAGAAATGTACGTAATTAGGGACAAAAATTGACTATTTTTGCATATTCTAGTTTGCATCTCTTGGTGCCAAAATACCCGTGAAAATTTGCATCTGTATCTGTGTTCTCAGAATTAATAATCTCTATCTTCTTCTAACTTTTTTAGCAGATTGGGGGGGAAAAAGTGTGCCTTTTCAACTTCTAGCTCCCCCTTTGTTTAGTACTAGGCTTAGAAAATGCTCTCAATTCAGTGACATAGAAATTTCAAAGAATTAAGACAAAAGCATGTTTTTTACAGGAGAAACTTCAATTCCTTATTTCTAGAAAAATATGAATATTGCTTTTTGTTCCACTGTGAACCAGAAAATAATGTCATTGTCAGTCAGTGATGCTGTTGCAAACACAAATTATTTCTACTGAAACTGTTCCAATTTGTTTAAAAGTAGGTGATTTTGGACTTTCCAGGAAAAACTGATAGAACGTAATTTATAAACATCTTGCTTGTCTTTCTCTTCTTGTTCCCAGCAGCTGTGCTTAAACTGCAAGATTAAGGCCAATCTTTATGGTTGGACTCGATGATCTTAAAGGTCTTTTCCAACCTAAATGTTTCTGTTTCTCTGATATATTGCAAAGTGGAGGATTTTGGATGGAATTTGCAGCAGATTGCGGGGTTGCAGGGAGTTTTTGTGTATCTAGAAATTAAGTTACAAACTGGAGAAGGCTGTACATCACATTTGATTTTTATCCTTGAGGGATTAATCTTGAATTTACCTTAATATCTTTTTATTTTTCCTTTTCCTGCTCTCTGTGCTGCAATCACTGTTATCCAGGAGCCCAAAAGGCTTGAATTCAAATTATGTGTCCTCTCCTGGAGATCTCCATCTCTTCCCATCTGAAGTTTCAGGTCAGCAACTTGACTTAAACTCAGAGGAGAGAGCGATACAGTTACTGTTGGGCAGGTGAGTGTGATGCGCTGCAAAATTGTCCTTATTTGACCAATTTATACTGAAAAATGTCTCTTGGCTCTTCAAGTTCTGCACATTTTTGGAAGTGTAAGCACAAGTCTGGAGCACAAGTCTGGTGAGGAGCAGCTGAGGGAGCTGGGGGTGTTGAGCCTGGAGAAAAGGAGGCTGAGGGGAGACCACAATTTATCTTTTTAGCAACAGAAACCAAAAACCATGTGGAAATTGAGAATAGCACAGTTTCAGAAGTTGCACACTGTGGTCTCATCAGACATGGCCTCACGTTGCACCAGGAGATGTTTAGGTTGGACACTAGATGAAATTTCTTTCACCAAAAGGGTTGTCAAAATATGTTACAAGAAAGACCTTGAGGGGCTGGGTTTTGGATGGATATTTGGGAAAATTTCTTCACGGAAAGGGTTGTGAAGCCTTGGCAGAGGCTGCCCAGGGCAGTGGTGGAGTCACCATCCCTGGAGGGATTTCAAAGCCGCGCAGACGTGGTGCTGAGGGACATGGGTCAATGGTGGGTTTGTCAGTGTTGGGTTGATGGTTGGACTCGATGATCTGAAAGGTCCCTTCCAACCTCAACCATTCTATGATCTGCTTGGGCCAAGTGCTGCGTAAGCACCGTTTGGCTCTATCCAGAGCCAATACAGCACAAATCCGGAGGGTTTTGGATGAATATTTGGAAAAATTTCTTCACGGAAAGGGTTGCTTGGGCCAAGTGCTGCGTAAGCACCGTTTGGCTCTATCCAGAGCCAATACAGCACAAATCCAGTATAGAACAGACAATATTGTCAGAATTCATAAGACATTGACTGCAGAACTTGCAACACAAAGTTACATTTCTTTCTCTTGTGTCCACAGTGCTGATTTATCTCCTGTGCATTTCTGGGATCGGACAGGTTCCCTTTTGGATTCTCTCTCTCTCGGGAGCGAGGTGTACGACAGCGAACTCAACGATCCCCATTACGACCAGAGTCTGCTCGAGAGCCTTTTTTACACAGCTCCTGTAAGTGGAGAGCAAAAGGAAGGGGCTAAATATGTAGCTCCTCAGGTGAAGAAAATCAGAAGGTTTCAGTATTAGTAAGGCTTAATAAGCATTAAGTATCATACAGCAGCTTGTGAGAACTTTGCTTAAAATTAATCCTATTAAAAGAATACCATTAAGACTACAAAGTCAAGCTGCAAGTTTGGAAATTACTAGGATTGAGGCTGTCCATGAAAACTTTTTCTTAAACTTCTGAAAAATTTGGATACCATTTTAATTGGTTTTAATTATGCAATCCACACATCTGCTTGAGCCCAGTGCTGCGTAAGCACCGTTTGGCTGTATCCAGAGCCAATAGAGCACAAATCCAGCATAGAACAGACAATATTGTCAAAATTCATAAGACATTGACTGCAGAACTTGCAACACAAAGTTACATTTCTTTCTCTTGTGTCCACAGTGCTGATTTATCTCCTGTGCATTTCTGGGATCGGACAGGTTCCCTTTTGGATTCTCTCTCTCTCGGGAGCGAGGTGTACGACAGCGAACTCAACGATCCCCATTACGACCAGAGTCTGCTCGAGAGCCTTTTTTACACAGCTCCTGTAAGTGGAGAGCAAAAGGAAGGGGCTAAATATGTAGCTCCTCAGGTGAAGAAAATCAGAAGGTTTCAGTATTAGTAAGGCTTAATAAGCATTAAGTATCATACAGAAGCTTGTGAGAACATTCCTTAAAATTAATCCTATTAATAGAATACTATTAAGACTACGAAGTCAAGCTGCAAGTTTGGAAATTACTAGGATTGAGGCTGTCCATGAAAACTTTTTCTTAAACTTCTGAAAAATTTGGATACCATTTTAATTGGTTTTAATTATGCAATCCACAAGTTGTTTTTTTCTTTGTCATAACCGTTGTGTATCTTGCCAGATAATGATAATTAACTTTACTTTAAATTTCCGTTGCAGAAATCTGATTCCAGTTTGAGCGATTTCCTCAGTGATGATGATGTTAACAGCTCCAAAAAAATAACCAAGGCAGAAACTCTCAAGAAAGCTGATCTAGTGAATCTACAGAGCTCTCAAGAAAGCTGATCTGGTGAATCCACAGAAGGATCCTAACGCCTTTGATCAGGATCTGAAGGTGACAGAAATTAAAGCCAGGTAAATAGTTACATTACTGACTTGTTTTGCAGCATCTTGACCATTGTAAGGTAGTATTAAGTTTGCAGTAAGTCTCCAGACTACATTAAGTTATGTGGGAGTCTTGATCTGCTGGAGGGGAGGAAGGCTCTGCAGAGGGATCTGGACAGGCTGGATGGATGGCCCAAGGCCAATGGGATGAGGTTCAACAAGGCCAAGTGCCAGGTCCTGCCCTTGGGTCACACCAACCCCATGGACGCTCCAGGCTGGGGGCAGAGTGACTGGAGCTGCCTGGCAGAAAAGGACCTGGAGGTGTTGGTGGCCTGTGGGCTGAACATGAGCCAGCAGTGTGCCCAGGTGGCCAAGAAGGCCACCAGCATCCTGGCCTGTGTCAGGAACAGCGTGGTGAGGAGGACTTGGGAGGTGATGGTCACCCTGGACTGGGCACTGTTATGGAGACCACCAAATTTGTTGTAAAAAATACATTTAAAAATGAACATTTTCATGAATGATCACAGAATGAATCATGGAATGACACAGGGTTGGAAGGGACCTCTGGAGATCATCCAGTCCAACCCCCTGCCAGAGCAGGGCCACCCAGAGCAGGTCCCACAGGAATGTGTCCAGGTGGGGTTTGAATGTCTCCAGAGAAGGAGACTCCACCACCTCTCTGGGCAGCCTCTTCCAGGGCTCTGCCACCCTCAAAGTGAAGAAGTTCCTCCTCATGTTGAGGTGGAACTTCTTCTATTCAAGTTTGTGCCCATTTCCTCTTGTCCTGTCCCTGGGCACCACTGGAAAAAAGCCTGGCCCCATCCTCCTGACACCCACCCTTGAAGGATTTATAGGTGTTGATCAGATCCCCCCTCAGCCTTCTCTTCTCCAGACTAAAAAGCCTTAAGTCCCTCAGCCTTTCCTTGTAAGAGGAAATATGTAAGAGGAATAATATATGTAATGGATGTATATGTATTATAATATATGTAATATAAATGGATGTAATATAAAATAAAGTAATATGCCACCAACTACGATTTTCCCTTCATGGGGCTGTGTTAAGAATGTTTGTGTAGTCCTGATTCTCAGTTTTATTTCCCCTGTTAGGCCACTTGCTTCTCCAGAAGATGACACAGAAGGATGTCGTGTCACATCCCTGAGTGCAGACAGGTTGGAGCTGCTGGAGCGAATCCACCTGGCCAGAGTCATCGTGGAAAGCTTGAAAATCCCTCTGGAGAGCATCCAGATGACCCCAAGGAAGAAAGGTTTAACGGGGAAGCCCCCAAGGCCTGCACCAGTTAATAAATGGTAAGGGGGGGTTGTTTCTCACCGGCTTCTTGTGCCTTCAAAGTAGATTTCTCTGAGGTCAATTGTGCTGTCCAGAAACTCCAGGTTTCTTATGTCTTCCTGTTTCTCTGCTCCTCGCAGGGAATTGTTTACTGTAGACTCCTGAAAGTTTGAGATGTGAATAATTTTTGGGGGAAGTACAAATGTGCTTCAATACACTGAAAACAAGAGGTTTGTGGGGGTTTTTTAAAGAAAATCTGACATATACGTAATCTTTTGAAGGAACTACTAACATAGGTACTTCAATTATTCTAGAAGAATAGAGTAACAATAAATTGTGAATAAGAAACTTGCCTGCTATGTTGAGTTCCATTGTGTACATCAGATTTTTGATGGATTGTGACCATCCCTTTGCTTTTTTATTGGTAGCACCTTCTTTGTGGAGTATCACTTTCCTGTGGGAGCCTCCAAGGATGAAGAAGGACAGGTCTCCATCACAACAGAAGTCATTCGAATAGCCTCAAGTAAAATCACAGATGATGGTAAGAGCTTTATTTCCCCACCCTTGTATTTAATATTATTGACTCCTTCATCTCTTAGAAATTATTTAGTAGCATTTTCTATGTGTTTTCTTATCTGCCTGAAAAATACAGTCTGATGAGTGGCACCTCTGCCAGCAGAATTGCTGTGCTGCAGGTAGTGGAATGGTCCTCTCAAGGAGGAGGAAGCCAAGGGATTTTTAAATTTTTTTTTGGCTTCCAAAAAGTATTCATATGGGGATTTTCAGATTTCTTTTCCTGGGGATGTAAGAGCAGGTCAGTAAACTCTTTCCTTCATTTCAACGTAAACCCGGTATCCTTTCTGCAATAGTATGAGGGTGATAAAGCAATTTTAGAAATATTAGAGATATATCTCAAATAAGCAGCAAAGCCTTTGATACAGTCTCCCACAGTATCCTCCTGGAGAAACTGGCTGCCCATGGCTTGGATGGGAATACCCTCTGCTGGGTTAAAACCTGGGCCCAGAGGGTGGTGGGGAATGGAGTTAAATCCAGTTGGTGTCCAGTCACGAGTGGTGTCCCCAGGGCTGGGTACTGGGGCCACTTCTCTTTAACATCTTTATCAATGATCTGGACGAGGGGATCGAGTGCACCCTCAGTAAGTTCGCAGACGACACCAAGTTGGGTGGGAGTGTTGATCTGCTGGAGGGTAGAGAGGCTCTGCAGAGAGATCTCGACAGGCTGGATGGATGGGCCGAGACCAACAGGATGAGGTTCAACAAGGCCAAGTGCCAGGTCCTGCCCTTGGGTCACAACAACCCCATGGACTCTCCAGACTGGGGGCAGAGTGGCTGGAGAGCTGCCTGGCAGAAAAGGACCTGGGGGTGTTGGTCAACTGTTGGCTGAACATGAGCCAGCAGTGTGCCCAGGTGGCCAAGAAAGCCACCAGAATCCTGGCCTGTATCAGGAACAGCGTGGGGAGTAGGACCCAAGAGGTGATTGTCCCCCTGTACTGGGCACTGGTGAGGCCTCACCTTGAGTGCTGTGTCCAGTTTTGGGCCCCCTACCATAAAAAAGACATTGAGGTGCTGGAGCGGGTCCAGAGAAGGGCGACAAAGCTGGTGAGGGGTCTGGAGAATAAGTCTTATGAGGAGAGGCTGAGGGAGCTGGGGGTGTTCAGCCTGGAGAAGAGGAGGCTGAGGGGAGACCTTATTGCTCTCTCCAACTCCCTGAAAGGAGGGTGTAGAGAG